TGTTCACGACTAAAAGAGAAAGTTTTCCAACTAACTTCCAGACAGAGCTGATATAACTCCAGCGAGCAGCGACACACTCAAATCAGCACGACTCTGTGGCTGCTGTAGTTGTTATTTTTCCTCCCCGACACACAACAACGTGGTCAAGCTGCTCAGACGCTCTCCATGTTCACCAGCACAAACCTATGTGAGCATCTGTTGTCATCTAATGTTGTCATTATGATGATGAAGATGAACAAAACAACAGGAGTCTCCTCCTCAGCTCAGAGCTCCTCAACCCCATGATGCAGGTATCTGGCTGGAACAGGTGAGCATCACAGTAAACCAGTGGAGCAAACTGAGCTTTAAATATGTTGGTTTTATGCTCTTTTTCTGCTCCAAAACATGAAAGTTAACAGGTGAGATGTTGCATTTTCATTTAAGATAAAATGATATTTTTATTTTGTTGTTGACCCGTGAGAAAAGATTTAACCTACAGTAATCAGGAAGTGGAAAGGCTGCAGATAGATGAATAGAATAGAAAATCCTTTTATTGTTCCTCAGTGGGGAACGCTAAATGTCACAGCAGCGATGACACTTATTACAGGAGAAAAAAAGGAGAATAAAAAGCAAGAAAAATGAATAAACAACAAGAAAACATAAATCCTGAATAGATTTTAAAAATGCTGAATATACCACAAGTAATTAATACCACTGATGCATTTTATTTAAAACTGACTTGCTCTTGTGTAATTTGGTTATTCCACATTCAATGTTATTGCAAAAATAAGTTTGTTTACAAATTAAAAGGTTCAAGATTGTATACATGTTGATAAAGAAAATGTGCAAATTTGCCGTCACTTTTTCAAAAAATATTAAGTTCGGCCCGTCGACTTCGTCCCAGAGTTTCATTTCGGCCCAGTGTGAATTTGAGTTTGACACCCTTGCTTTAGTGCATCAACCTGAATTAAAGCTTGTTTTTAAGTTATTTCCTACTAGGTGTGTATTTTCTCTAAACGCCAATGAGATGCAGTTTAGCTCCTCTGGAATTGCATCATGTAGATGGAATGTTAGACATTGATTATGTTTCAGCCATGTGGGAAAGTTCACACTAGTTATCTACAGCGTGGAGAAACTTTTCATGGGTAATTAAAGCGAAGGAGACGGTTGGATACAGAATGTGGGAGCTGCCTTCTGGTAAAAGGAGCTGCAGCTTTGAGCCGTTTAGACGCACGTTTCTTGTTTCTTCCTCTGGTTTTGGTGCAGATGCTTCTGCTGTAACTCTGTCTACAAGGGAGTATACCTTCCATCATCTCTCTTCCTTCCTGTTGTGCAGATTTTCCTTTCACCCTCACTAAACTGTGTTTTAATGCTCCACCCGTTGCATCTCACCTTCCTCCACACCATGCACTTCCCCGTTTCCCTTCTTGCATCGTCTCTCATCACTGAGGCCGTAAACTGCTCTGCTGGCATGTAGGTGTTGGAGCGAGCATGTCAGATGCCTCTGAGGTCAGCCTTGCCTTTTTCTGTGTCATCAGCTGCTGCTAGGCCCACTGCCGGTGCTGCTAAAAAAAGACCAGCTCATAACGGAGACCTATGGCCTGCTCTGTCCAGCAGAGATCCCCCCCAGTCAGTAAGGTGTTCGAAATATAATCATAGTGTTTTATTTACATTACCTTTACGCACATACATAAATACAAATGCACTAATGTTGGCTGTAGGAACTATTGACATAAAGATTTATGTGTAGTAGACACTAAAGTGGGCGGTTGGACTAATTTATTGACCATCTGCGAACTGACCGATCATTTTTCTAGAGCAACATTCTTTACAATCAAATCAGCGTCTCTTTATTTTAACACTATGTACACACACACATGATTCACCATTAGAGATCTAGGGTTCTTGTGATTCAAACGATGCTTACCAATACAACCGTAACTGTAGTCTGACGCTTTTCTCAAACCACTCGCAAATAAACATACACAATGTTCAAAGCCTCATATCATCGCCAGAAAAGAACTATTTGAAACTAAAGTCCAACAAAATTTGTCTACAACAAGTCTTATGTCCACAACGACGGTGGCACAGGAGTCAAGTGCTCGCCCCGTAATCGGAAGGTTGCAGGTTCGAGTCCCGCTCAGTCTGTCGCTGTCGTTGTGTCCTTGGGCAAGACGCTTAACCCTCGTTGCCTGCTTCAGGTGGTCGGAGGGACCGGTGGCGCCAGTGCTCGGCAGCCTCGCCTCTGTCAATGCACCCCAGGGCAACTGTGGCTACATCGTAGCTCATCCCCACCAGTGTGTGAATGACTGGTTGTGTTGTAAAGCGCCTTGGGGGGTTCCATGACTCTAGAAGGCGCTATATCTAATACAGGCCATTTACCATTTACAATCCAACATAACTTACCTCTAAAAACCTTCCAAATGTCCTTCAGATGAGTCTCTATCACCATAACTTCTGCTGGTGTCCTCATGTTAGCTTAATTTGATCAACATCTTACCAGATCCAACAGGTGATGGGTGACCTACCTGTCTGCTGAGGCTAACTCTTCAACTATTGGCTGATATGTCGGAAATGCTGCCCCCTAGTTTCACATGTAACTTAAATCAATTCCAGTACAGTACATTGTTGATTCACACATGAATTAGCAATTAAATTAGGAAAAGAATAAAATCTCAAACTAAATGAGAACTATTAGGGTTGGTGGACTGCTGCTTGTCTAATCCTCACCTGTTCAAATATATCATCCATCCTTATTTTTCAGACTAACGAACATCGCGGTTGGAGGAATGTTACATATCACCCAATCTTAGTAGGAACATATTTTAAAGTAGGGCATTAATTATAGTAGAAATGTGACATAACTGACCAGTGCAGCAGTTTGGCTAACCATGATTGTTTGACTGATTCACAAACATTAATTTGAGCAAAACTTAGAAAGCAAATAGAAAGAGATTCTCATGTGGGACCAAGAGGGCAAAGGTGCAGATGGACAGAAAAGTTAGTGGGAACACATCTGCCCTGATTCAAATAGGATAAACACCTCTGGTTAAACAACACTAACTCAGGTCATTTAGCGGTGATGAACTCATTAAATATCCTGCCTGATTAATGTAAAGAACCACATTAATAATATTGCAGTATTACTTAAAGCTTCTTTCCGGAGTATTTCTCCTATCCAATGGCACCATCCAGTGGCTGACAAGCATACCACACAAAAAAATCTGTTGCTCTGTTTAAGATCGCAACTTCACGTTTCTGTTTACAAATGTGCTTCTGTAGCCGACAAACAGCTAAAACACGTTGTTTTACGAGTATTATTCTCATGTCATGTTGTGTTCTCATATATTTATACTTTAGAGACTTCCTTGTCCGTGAAAAGTTCATCAACTCTGCATCAGCCGAGGTATTCCTTAAGGGCTCAACACACGGGAGGTGACCCGCGGCCAGCGGCAAAGCCGTCAATGCGTTCTGTTCCATGGTGAAATCGAATCTTCCGTTGTTTTGATTGGCTGTGTCAGGTTGGAGGGAATGAATGAATGGAGGAGAGGCGATGTCGCCTCCTGTGTGTTGAGCTCATTAAATTTGAAGCAAGTAAACCATTATTTAAGCGGTTCAGAGTTTTAAAAAAAGCGGTAGATATGATGTTTCACAAGATGCTGCTAGTGTTATGTGAAATCTTACTTCTGATTTTACTATATTAAAAAAAAAACAGAGAATGGGTTCATCCCATATTACAAACCAGAAGAGGGCTACTCTCTGTCTATCAGAACATGCTTCAGTTTATCACTCGGTTTGGACCTCACATTAAGATGAACACAGTCACAGAAAGAGAAACGGAGTCCATGTTTGCTCGGAGATGTACGGAGCATCCTGTCCGCTCATTGGTCAGTGAATGAAACCTCCGTTGGTTGGTCCTCGTCCGAGCGACAGCGATGAAAAGTTGAAAATATTTCAACTTTCTGGGATCACGTCGCTGGGTCACCTGTGCATGACACGTGCACGAGCTCAAAATTTCACACGCACGTTTTTCGCGTTTTGCTTAGTAGGAGGGAGATCCGCGATTATCGCTTTGTCGCGCATGTCTCATTGAAAATGAATGGAGGAGAGGCGATGTTGCCTCCCTGTGTCAAGCTCATTAAATTTGAAGCAAGTAAGCGGTAGTCTAACGCTATTGGTTATTTCTGGTCGAGGCCCAGTTTCCTATCGCACGGAGCTCTGCGGGGCGGCAAGCTTACATTATATCACAGTACACGATAAGATAATCACTTTTACGGATTTCTGAAAAATCATACATCATTTCTGTAAGGTGAGAACTCCGGAAAGCAGCTTTAAGTGATACATTTTTAATAGTGAGCAGGGTTTCCCCCAGAAAGAGTTAAGCCAGGCGGCTTCAGGTGGGGAGGGATCACGCGCTTCGTCCCGCAGCGCTCCTCTGTGAGAGCAGGGGGTGGGGGGGTTGCACACGTTCCGCTGCTGTTTCTCACCAGTATCAGCTGATGGAGGGCTCTAGTTTCGATGCGCCATTCGTGTCAGTGGACACGGTAGGGTCGGGGAGGGGGGCGGGGCATGACGCTTAGCCTGGCGTGTGGGCAAGCAAAGCCTGGCGGCCCGCCAGGCTTATAAAGTGCTGGGGGAAACCCTGAGTGAGTGTTAAAGAATAGAATAAATGCATGTATATGTGATTCATCATTGCTTCTGTGCTCCATTAATAAGTCTGTGACTACATGATCATGGTTACAGTTATAAATTTGTGTTCTCAAACTGTAAATGTGCACTTTATATTTGTGAGTCATGGCTAAAAAGTTAAAGAGGTAATTTAGACACATTTTATACTTGCCAGTGTGTGTTTCCCTCCTTCTACCACCAGATAAATGGGAGTTTAGCCTTTGGGAAAGACAACATTTGGATTTGGAAAGCAAACCACTTGTGATTTTTGGAGCTACAATTAGAAAGTGATGTTGCTCCACTCATTCATTTTTATGATTACGTTAAAGTGTTTCATTTTCCCTAATGTGTAGATCAATGTTCGCGTGACCACCATGGACGCAGAGCTGGAGTTTGCCATCCAGCCCAACACCACAGGAAAACAGCTCTTTGACCAGGTGAGCCTACCTGATGCACACAGGTTTCATCGGCCTTGAGACAACGCGTCCTACAAAGATGACGAGAAAAGAATCCCTTCACCCACACGAGCTAGTCAGCTGTTTCCTGTGTGGTCATGATGTCATCACAGCAGTTTTACAGGACAACAAACAAACTCTTGTTGACAAGAAGTTCATGGGAGATCTCTTTGCTCCCAGGTGGTGAAGACGGTGGGTCTGCGGGAGGTATGGTTCTTTGGTCTGCAGTATGTGGACAGTAAAGGTTACAGCACCTGGCTCAAACTCAACAAGAAGGTCAGTTTCTCCTGGTTTACTTTAGTTCTTACTCCTGTGGCGAGTCTCACCCACTCTTTACCTGCTGAAAGGTCACAGGGTTGCATGTGCAGCTTCACTTCCTGTTTGGGTAGATGACTCACACCTAAGCTTGTGAGACGCATGTAGCCTACCCAGCTAGCACGTGTCAGCAGGCACAGCTGGCGTATGCAGGCAGAGTTGATCACGCTTGTTTAGGACAGACGTGCTTTAGTTTTTATTACAGCTTTACATGAATACAGTTATGTGCATCAGTGGGTGATTCTAGCAGAGGTTGATGATTGGATGTTTTCTTTTTTTAGGTGACGCAGCAGGATGTAAAGAAAGAAAATCCTCTACAGTTCAAGTTCAGAGCCAAATTCTTCCCTGAGGACGTATCAGAGGAGCTGATCCAGGAGATCACTCAGAGACTCTTCTTTCTACAGGTAACCAGACCCATCCTGGATGTAGGAACATCTGCTGCTGTTAAGTCTGGCGTCTCCACCTTAATGCTGTTACACCGACAGGTGAAGGAGGCCATCCTGAACGATGAGAACTACTGTCCTCCAGAGACCGCCGTGCTGCTGGCGTCATACGCCGTCCAAGCCAAGTATGGAGACTACATCAGAGATGTTCACAAGCCGGGATACCTGACCCAGGACAGACTCCTGCCTCAGAGGTAGACGAGCTGCAGCACCGCCAGGGGAGGTGGACCTTTGTTTAACAGCAAAACTGTGTGTGTGTGTGTGTGTGTGTGTGTGTGTGTGTGTGTGTGTGTGTGTGTGTGTGTGTGTGTGTGTGTGTGTGTGTGTGTGTGTGTGTGTGTGTGTGTGTGTGTGTGTGTGTGTGTGTGTGTGTGTTCAGAGTCCTGGAGCAGCACAAGCTGACGAAGGAGCAATGGGAGGACAGGACACAGACGTGGCACGAGGAACACAAAGGAATGCTCAGGTGTGTGTGAGCCTGACTCAGGCCGTGTGTTTAAACGTCGGCACTAAACTGATGATTGTATTACTACAGGTTTTTTTTTTTTTTGTTTTGTTTTTTTACTCGTAGCTAAGATTTTACAGCTGGTGTAACTCCTACCTTTCCTCTTCTCTAGAGAGGACTCCATGATGGAGTACCTGAAAATTGCCCAAGACTTAGAAATGTATGGAGTCAACTACTTTGAGATCAAAAACAAGAAAGGCACACAGCTTTGGCTGGGCGTGGACGCCCTCGGCCTCAACATCTACGAACACGAGGACAAGTACAACACACACACACACACACACACACACACACACTGCTGCACCACCTCCTTGTTCTAAAATCACCCATTTTATTTCTGCTTCCTGTTAACAACAAAAGAACGATGGCAAGTAGGGATACCAGACTGTTCCAAACGGAGTACAAGTACTTAGATTAGAGTACTCGCCAATACAGAGTACCGATAAATGTCATTACACTTTTTGTACTAAAATGGGAGGTGGCCACCACCGCCATTTTGACCGTGTCACAGGTTCCGTCAAGCCCAGACAATTCCATAAAAGGGAAGAGAGGTGGACCTGAGGGTGGGGCTGTAAGGCTGGGATCAACTGACGACACCCGGTCGAACTAGCTACAAGCTAACCTGAAGCTAACCCAAAGCGAACGCGGAGGTGGGAGCTAAGCTAACGGAGGTAGCAACCTAGCTACAACCAGAGTTAACTGTGCACAACACCAGAGCTTCTGAGTCAGAGATACGCCGGGCTGACCGCTGGGTAAAACCGGGTGGAACACAGAGGTCTCCCGAAATCTGCTGAAAGCCGGCAGCCCGCGCAGCACACAGAAGCCGCAATCAGACAGAGATGCGCCGGGCCGCGGGGAGGGGAGAAACGGGTGGAAAACATCGGTCTCCCGAGAGCTCCACAAGCCGATAGTCGGAACCCAGCTCCACCAACATGTTATATTTCAACCCATTTTCTAAAGTGCAGCATTATGTTAAATGCACTGGGTTTTACCCTATTACATTTAAATTTCATGGTTAAACAGTACATGTTAAAATCTAAGCTCAGCTCGGCAGTGACCTAAAATACATAAATATAATTTTACTTACTGAAAAGAATGAAGTGGAGACTCCTTGGACGCTCTATTAGTGCAATTAATGCCACAGCAAGTCATTTTGTCCAACAATTGCACAAATAATATCCAAAACAGAATACACACACACAGAGACTCAAAATCCCGGAGCAGTTTCCAGGCCAGACCGAGGCTCTGCTGAGGCCTTTCCACAGAGCTAGCTCTGTGGTCACGTGGGTCTGATGCTCATTAATTATACAGAATTTTAGGCTTTTAATACACTTAAACAGAAGAGTGAGAAAAAATTCACCCCCCTCAGAGTTGTCATGAGTGTAAACTAGATCATTTAAACAAAAAACATGTTTTGGTACCAGGCTGTTAACATGTTTATTTCTGCTGTGAAATTGGTATTTTTAACATGGGAGTCAATGAGGATTTGCTCGCCTCTGACACCAGCCCCCAGTGGATGAGGGTGGAACTGCACGAGACACCAGAGGAAAACAATCGGATTAAAACAGGGTCTTAAAATTGAAACTATACGTGATGCAGGTGAAACTGGAAAAAGTTAGATTGTGTCAGTAATCCAGCTCAGACTGAGAGACCTTCTAAAGGCTCAGGAACCCTCTGCAGGTGTTCTGGATTCATCAGCTGATTAGACTCTAGACTATAAAGACACTTTGAGTCTAGAATATTTTCACAATAATCTAATACAGGGATTCCCAAAGTGTGGTGCGCGCACCCCTGGGGGTGCGCGAGCTGCCGCTAGGGGGTGCGCGAGGTGAAAAGTGTAATGGCTGCGGAGCTCAGAGAAGTCTGTCATATGTCACCATTAGCGTAGAAACTCATTTGTGGGTGGGCCAAAGAAAAAGTAAGTGGGCACAATAAATGTAATTGAAAACAAGTACATTTTTGCACGCGCGTGTCCTCCGCATGTGCCCTAGCTTCATAATAACAATGCGCTGAGCTTCAGCACTCTGGCCTGCGCACGCCGATATGTTCTGTATTTGATCATTTTTAACGGTGTTGGAGGAATCTGAAGGTGGTGAGTCATTCTGGCAGATTGTAATTAACACCTGTCTCATGCAGGTGTTCTGACGTTGTAAACCTCACACACAGAACATTGTGGATGTAACTAAATAACAAGAAATGATTCCCATTCAGGCTATTGACAGCGCGCTGAAGATCTGAAGTTCAGAGTGCGTCTGTCAGAGGTCAGACACGTTCCGGCTGAACCACGGCTCACGGGTGCACAAGTGAGCACATCTGGGCTGGGCAGAAGGAATTTTACAACATTGGTTTAAATAGCGCGAGACGCGGTGACTTGAACGGCTGTGCCGCGCGCACGTGCGCGCGCGCACACACACAGATTCAATAAGCGCACACGCTGCTTTAACTCCGGCCCGCTGTCAGACTGAAGGCAGAAATGAACGCTGCCTCCACCGTGATAAAAACTTTTAAGAGGTTATTTTTCATTCAAGGTCAAATTAAGATATTAGCTTCTGGGATGAGTCGGGTCCGCTCCAGCCAGTGACTCCTCATGAGCCTGACCACAGCTCATGTTACTGCAGCATTTGTTATTCCAGTCCGCATGACAGCGGATCGCAGATTCAGCCTCACCATGAAACAGCAATAAGTCGGTCTGAGGTAAAAGTGAACATCATGGCTATATCTTGTCCCCTATTGACATTTGATTACGCACAAGTAGGTGATCAGCTCAGGTTTACGCAGAGCAGAAGGAAGGAGAGCGCTAAGGCCGCACAGGTTAAACGTTCCTACTTTAAGAAAACCATTAAATTGCATTGTTTGTGTGCTACCTGGGCAATCTAAATATTTATTCAAAATGAAATCAAAGGAAATTGTAATGGTATCGAATGCTTATTAATTACTATTTAAAAAATGAAAGTGATGGGGAATTTTTTTAACCCTTTCTGTTTAGCTTGACATCTGATATATATATATATATATATATATATATATATATATATATATATAGCCATGCCCCGATGTGGGGGCTGGGGGGGGGGGGGTGCGTCGACATGGTCGGGACATAGAAGGGGGTGCGCGGCTAAATAAGTTTGGGAACCACTGATCTAATAGTCTGAGATTTTTACTTTAGCTAGTAACAGTACACGGTATCGGCCCGACACCCAGTGCCATCGGCATCGTTGCAGGTTCTGCTGAGGTCCTTGTTGAGTTTGATTACACCGTTTGTTCCAGACTGACACCAAAGATCGGCTTCCCCTGGAGCGAGATCCGAAACATCTCCTTCAACGACAAGAAGTTTGTCATCAAACCCATCGACAAAAAAGCACCTGTGAGTCATCTCTTCCATCACAAGATCTAAAAGTCCTGCTTTCAGCATCATGTAACTGGTGTGTGTGTGGGTGTGTAGGATTTTGTGTTTTACGCCCCACGGCTGCGCATCAATAAGCGTATTTTGGCGTTGTGCATGGGTAACCACGAGTTATACATGAGGAGGAGGAAGCCCGACACCATCGAGGTGCAGCAGATGAAAGCTCAAGCTCGAGAAGAAAAACACCACAAGCAGATGGAGAGGTACGTCAGTGAGGAATGTTCTTGCAAGAGATCGTCTAGGGATGCACCAATATCAGACAGCTGCTGCTATAGAAGAGCCTCGCCACTAGAGGGCAGGCCTGCCTTTCTCACACGGTTCACTCCATGAGCTCAAACTCCTAAATCTTTGTTTATTTGTTTTTTTGTTTGTTTGTTTTTAATAATGTGAGGATGCATATGAAGACAGCGGTTTTATTTCTGTCCGAACGTTCTCAGAGCCCAGCTGGAGAATGAAAAGAAGAAGCGAGAGCTCGCAGAGAAGGAGAAGGAGAAGATGGAGCGTGAGAAGCAGGAGCTGATGGAGCGGCTGCGGCAGATTGAGGAGCAGACGATGAAAGCCCAAAGAGGTGCTCGTCGTTCTCTTTATCCACTCATCTGTTCTGCTTCCTCCTCCTGTCAGGCCCACGAGTGTCTCTGTCGTGAAGTTTAACTCCAGCTGAAAATGTGTCTGTGCTCCGAACAGAGCTGGAGGAGCAGACGCTCAAAGCCATGCAGCTGGAGCAGGAGAGGAAGAGGTCACGAGAGGAGGCCGAGAGGCTGGAGAGGGAGAGACAAGCAGCCGAGGAGGCGAAAGCCGAGCTGGCCAGACAGGCTGCAGACCAGCAGAAGACCCAGGAGCAGCTGGTGAGACTGGTCTCCATGCCTCTGCTGTGTGGTGTTGATGACCGCTACTACAGGGGTGGGCTCTGTGTTCCAGGCTGCTGAGCTGGCTGAATTCACAGCAAAGATCGTTCTTCTGGAAGACGCCAAGAGGAAGAAGGAGGATGAGGCCACCGAGTGGCAGCACAAGGTACTGCAATCTCACCTGCAGCCTTCTCAAGTCAATAAGAGAGCAAGTAGCTTCACCATCTGCTTTCACTCGTATCGAAGCCCCGCCCACAATTTACTGCAAGCAGATCCAGTCACCACCTCATCATGCTTTAGAGGTTCTGTCTTCTGTCCCTCTCCTCAGGCTCTGTCTGCTCAGGAGGACCTGGAGAAGACCAAAGAGGAGCTGAAGACCGCCATGACACCAGTGCTAGCACCTTTAGGGGGCCAGACCGAGCACGACGAGCAGGACGAGAACCACGTGGAGGCCAGCGAAGAGCTGTCCAACGAGGGCGTTAGCCAGCTGGACCTCCGCAGCGAGGAGGCGCGCGTCACCGAGGCTCAGAAGAATGAGAGGGTGAAGCAGCAGCTGCAGGTGAGCGGTGTTCTCGTGAGGCCGTAGCGAGTATATTTCATATAGAACTTACGACAAAGGAGACATGAATATCTGTCGTTTTGTTTGCGTTTATTTTATTTGAACCTCTCCTCGTCTCTTCTCTCAGACGTTAAGTTCTGAGTTGGCCGAGGCCAGAGACGAAACCAAGAAGACGCAGAACGACGTGCTGCACGCCGAGAACGTCAAAGCGGGCCGAGACAAATACAAAACGCTGCGCCAAATCCGCCAGGGCAACACCAAGCAGCGCATCGACGAGTTCGAGTCCATGTGAGCGCAGCGGCGCCTTGTTTTTGTTTTGCTTGTTTTATGGAAGCCGTCAAGTTTCCTTCAACACATCTGGTAAAAATCTTACGCCAACTTTGCCTAACTCTTCTCAAGGGACGTGTGGATGTCTTTCCGGAGCTGCGAACACGCCGCTCTGAGTAATAACGATGACGAAGAGACGAAAACCAAAAAACACACCTAGTTTTTGCTTGCTGTCCGTTAAAAACCGTAGAAGCTCCTCCTTCCTGTTTTTGTTAATTATGCAAAGCTTTAGCAACAGTTTTTTTTATTTCCTTTACTTTTCTATCGTTTTAGTGATGACGCCCTTTTGTTGACGAATGAGGACTGAGGAATAAATGAAGTCAGTGTCACGTGACGTGTCAGAACTTCTCACCTGCCAGGTGGTCGCGGGTTTAGGAACACGCTAACACCGCGGCGTTTTAACAGCTCCATCACTGGTTGGTCAAGAGAATTATTTCTGCGATCCCGCCCTTCTGAGGGGGAGGAGCCACTTGGTAAAGATGCCGTTTTGACTCATGAATGTAGCAAAGGTAACAAAGGGAAGTCGTTAAGTCGGCTGGTGCCCTCGAGTCACAAGTATTGTCAACATGAGTTCACTAGTGCTGCTGTGGGTCTGTGCACGTGTTATTTTCCTGTTCCCGCCACCACGGGTGGTTTTCTCCACCCAAGAAGTCCAAGGAACTCCCGGTTTGGCCCCAGGCCTGGCACCTCCCTACCTCAGGAATCAAAGCAGAGGTGACTTGACGGTCCAACACTCAGGGTGCTCTCCCGGTATTCCTACTAGGACCTCCCTACCTTAGATCATGCTCATTTGCTCATTTAAAGGATTTTAAATAAGGTTCCCAACTGAAGTGTGTGTGTGTGCGCGCGCGCGTGCGTGCGTGTTAAAAGGCCTTAAATGTCCACCTCTGCTACAGGTTACAGACCTTTCTGACCTGTATTGGAAGGAATTACAGCTGATAATCTAACAGAAATTAGGCCAATTTCCCCTAAAATCGACTAAATCAACTTTGAGAGCGGATGACAGAATGACTAAAACTTTAATGATGTTGAAGATTTGTTCAAATGTGTATTTTTAAGACTTATTCTTGAAGTTTCTTTTCTTAACTAACCGCGTTTTTGACAGCTGGTGTATTTTTTATTAGGACGTTTTAACAATGTGAAACAAGACAGGACAGCCTGCCTTTTGTGTTTAAACATTAGTGATGCTTTAGTTGGTGGCTTCAAACCTTCAGTTTCCATTTTTCTTCTGAGCTAAAGTGTAGCGGTCCCGCGGTGAAGCCATGACCTGTGGCGGTGCCGGTTCTGCCACCAGCTGTCAAATTCTGCATTTTTGTCTGTTTTTTTATGTTCCTGTTAGAATTCTTTAATATAGCAGAACAGTTGGATTCTGGTCAATGTCATGGTCTCGCAAATAAAAGGTTGATATTTTACACGTTTGCGTTGTTTTCTTTACGGTGCAGCTTTAAATTGGGTAAAAAGACTAAAGTTCCTGGTTAAGAACCGCAGTTTTCTAATGATCGTGTTTATTTAGGGAATCAATCGAAAAGTTATCAAACCCTAACCCAGTAACTGGTCAACAGACTGGGAGACCACAAAGTCTTGAGTTCAGCCATATTAGAGGGTTTCTAGCATGGGCAGCTTGTTTAAGGTCAAAGGTCAGATGTTCTCCTTCAGGATGTTCTGCTGGAGAACAATTGCAGCTGGTAGCAGCCCCAGACCACCGTTGCTGGGATTTTTAGTTCATACGAGAGACAGATCTTGGCCTTGAAATGTATCCACGATGTCGTTTCTGCTCAGTTATCGTTGGACTCTGACCAACCATGACCTGCAGTACTTTAGATGTTCTAGGTTGCTTTGTACTTGAATTCCTTTAGAACGTGGCATGGTGTGCGGCTTTTTGAGATCTTTTAGCGTACTTCATCGCTGCAGGTCTGGCGCTAATCGGTCTGACGCTGGCGACCTTTCATTCACCTTATACCAGAGACTTAGCAGAACGTTCTGACAGGGACAGCAAAGCACTTTTTACAGCCTTTATTGAATAATCACAATCACAGGTTTACACCTTTTTAGTGCTGATAAACTGTTGATCTACAGGTTGTGTTATACCAAGTGCACTAACAAAGAGGAAATCTCAGGCTTCTTGAAATGATTCTCACACGCCACAGTTCTGATAGTCTAGTGTTTCTGTGTGTAAAGGTGGAGTCCTGCATGGACTTTGTTCAGAGAAGTAGTGCTAGAACTAATTCAGGAGCAACAAAGACCAAAATGAACGGCTTCCATCTTGAAACGGCTCACCAAACCAAGGTGGTTCAGGACTCTGAGGGAACACCGTTCATCACAGCTGAACTGTCCCTTTAAAGTAGGGCGCCGTGCTGAAATTCCAACATGAAATCTGAAAACTTCAAATCTTTTTTTTTAATCTACAAGCATCTTGACTAGAGGCCGACCGATGTATTCAATTTTTTCTAGATTGGCCAAAGTTATTTTTAACAGCAGATAAAAATAAATAAATAAAAATGAAAAAATTAAAATTATTTTAAATCAGGCACCTGTGTGGCCAACTGCCGTCACTACTAGAATGAGAAAGGACCCGAAGGGCCTCAACACACCGCTTTTTTAATGTTTTGAGTTTGTTTTATATTTGAAATTCAACAAATATTAAGATTATTTATTGACTTATTTCATTTATAATGCACACGGAGTCTTTCACAATCAATGTGCTGCTAAAACATAGATATCGGCCATCGGCAACAAAATTCTTTAAAAATCGGCGTCAGCCTTAAAAAATAAACATTGGTCGGCCTCTAATCTTGACTAGCATCATGTCACAGAAACGGCAAGACAAAAACAGATTAAATACGCATGCATAACAGCTGAACATGGTTCAGAATATCAGATGTGTCATAAGCACAATGCCACCAAGAGGCATTACTTTGGGCCCACGCTCAGGGTCCCCGCCGACACACGGTGCCAGGGGGCCAGAGGGAAGGCGCTACTTCAATACATGACAAAGTTCTCTCTCGTTAACGGCACGTGGTATCGTACAGGTATTCGTGTTTGTACAATGTCCCGTTGGACGGGAAAGGGGCCTTTGGGCTTGACGGAGCTGGCTCTACATGTTTTAGGTTTTCCGTGGCTGTTTGGAAATTCTACTAACGGGCGTTTCTGGAAAGACACTTGGACTTAAATTTGTCAACACTGATATTTTTGGAGGGAAATATTGATTTGGACTTTTGTTTTATGGTCATCTTTGGAGTCTGGTCCTTCGAAAACCTGGCTGGATCAAGAACCTGACCGCGTTTCAGAAGCAGGTTTAGATGCTCGGTCATCCAGGACATGGTAGCAAATTAAAAATTTTCCATCATGTAAGATGTTTTGCTTTCCGTAAAAGAACGAAGAAAGCTTGAGAAGCTAACCTCTTAACTCATCCCTAAAAACACTATTTGCCTAAGTCCAATGGGTTGTTGTTATTTCAGAGAAACCATAAATCATGAAGGGCTTTTACAACTTTATAATAATCCTGAACATCAGTCTTGGATTTCGTATGCTAAAGAAAATCGTAGCGGTTTATTAAACCTTTTGACTTATTTAGAGAATTTGATTTATTTTCTTTAGCAGCCATTGATTACCTCAAAATAAATTAACGTAAAACATTTCGCAAAAAAAAATCATCTAAATTAGGGATGTCCGATACTAGAGGCAAGTTTTGGAATAAAAATATAACATCGGAATTAATCAGTGTCTGTTTTTATTCTCTTAATGATGCAACGTTAATAAAAGTGTACTTATTATACATCAAAATCTTAAGCTACTTCTCTCATTCAGTAGGTTAAAATATGACTGAACCGATGTTTAAGAGATATTTTTGTTTGTTTGGTACGGACAAAATGGCCTGACAAATTCAAGTCATCATATTTAGGATGGATGTTTAGAGCCTATGTATGACTGATAAATTTCAGATATTAGTGACCTAAAATTATTTCATTCCTCTTTTCTGTCTCAGAAATTAAGAGTTAAGACTATATCGGTACATCAGACATCTGTAGTAAAGACGACATCAAACATCCCTAATATAAACATAAATATCTTCTTAAATAGATGTAGGAAATTATACGAGTTACCACTGAAATGACCCTAATGTCGTCACTTGGGAGCGAAAATATAAATATTAGTTTTATTCAAACACATGTAACCAGGGATAACCTAGAAAATAACCGCAACGGGTTTTAAACTGGAGAATACCGGTAACTTCTCTTTTAGTGTCATAATATCATTTTTCACCAGGAAGTAGTGCACGATTAGCTGGATTCAATGGTACAGAAGTTTAAAATAGCTTCTGTAAACATTAGTTGGGGTCTGTGTTCTCAACTCAAATTAGAAACTAAGATGGTTTCAAGTTGGATGTCGATTTTATTAAGTTGATAAAGTTAAAGCAACACTGAAGAGTTTTTAACACTAAGCTTTTCCTTTCAAACTGGTGTCAGTGGTTACTGAGATGGTAGCTTTACTAACCTACATTTGACAACACTCTGTAGTCCTCGGCTGACCAGGAACCACACTTAACAGTTTTGTATGACGGGTAGGTTCAATGGGTGGAGCTCTTTCCCCAGTGAGTCGTGGAGGATGGCTGCTTATACTGAGCCAGGATCCTCCGGAGGTTTCTTCCTGTTAAAAGGGAGTTTAACTCTCCACTGTCGCTATATGCTTGCCTTAGTATGAGGATTGCTGTAAAGTCACTGACACTAGTCAGTGACTTGATGCAATTTGCTGGGTTCCTTATATAGGAAAAAATTTTCTGATTGGCTTAATGAACTGACCTGAATTGAAATGTTATGTGAAGTGCCTTGACATGACTCTTGTCGTGATTTGGCGCTATATAAATAAAATTGAATTGAATTGAATTTACTGCTATTAGCTGTTTGGTTAGCCGTTAGCTAATAAAAAGGCTAGTAGTTAGCATTTTCAGTTCACTGACTGTCAATAAAAACCACAAGAAGATGAATAGTTTAGCTGTTTTGGTTGGCATCATGGAAGTAAGATAGAGTCTTTAGATGTGGAGAAAAGAGCTAAAACCAGAATAGGCATCTGTGCAGCCTACACTTGTTCGAGGGAGCTAAAGGACACTACGAAATCACGGCTGATGGTGACCTGGCTTTGTTGCTACTGGACTTGTAAGTAATAATTTTTTGGGTTAGGGTTAGGTCGGACTCTGCCATACACATTATATTTTTTGTCCAACAGTGTGGATCTTCTTACTTTGTGGCTTATTTTAGTATCCGTTGACTCGTGTTAGCATTAGCTCATTAACAATCGCTACAGCAAGCTGCAACAGGGTTGCTCATGACAGTTGTAATTTTGTTTTTAACCAGTAGGAGTGAAACTCTTTAGTGTTGCTTTAAAGAAAATGAACCTTACGGTGTTTTTAAGAAACCAGCTAAAAGTCCAAAAGCACACTTAAAGTAGCTGCAAAACCTAAACATAGTAGGCACGCAACTCCTCTAGTTTGAAACATTGAAATAATTGTCTCAAAGCTGTTTTCACAAGAATAAAAGGTTTGGACAGAACTGGTATATAGTACTACATCAAGAGTGTTCGATAGATGCGGATCAACGAGTCCATGTACTGTATATAACATCAGCGACTTAGTTCATGATACAATTTGTATCAAACAAGGCTTTTCTCTGTCTAGCATGGGTTCAGCTGGGATCTGCTAGAGAAAACAGCAGGCGCTGTTGCCCTTGGACGCACAGCAGAGGAAACCGTTAAATATATTTACAACTAGGTACATGCTTCACTTACTCGTGCTGCGGTCTGGAGCAGAAACCACAGCTGACCCAAGGTAAAGGGTCAGAGAGAAAGGGAGATAGCGAGAGATGTCCCTTACTAAAACTAAGGTACACACGACAGGGTCACCCATCTCTACAGCTACAACTCTGACCAAAACGCTGTCGTCTGAGGACGGCGGACTTTCAAACACCCACCTCTACCACTGCAAGAAAAACCAACCCACAGCACGCACACGTGGACTGATACAGAACCAGAGAGGGATTTGTAGATTGGACGTGTTTAAAGTAGAAAATCTGTTGCATGTTGTTCTATACATGCAAGAAAATTGTTAAGGAGTTATTGTTTGAGAATTGGGTCTAAAGGTGAGGAAGATGGTTCTGTCTAACCCCGGTTTCACACTGCAAGCATCAGCGGAACGGAACGGCAGCGAAGCGGCACCTCGTCAAATATAATCCAATTATAGTCTATGGAGTGTTTCAAACCAGGCGCGACCCAGAAGCGGCATGCCGCGCCGCTAAAGATGGGATCGAGTTCTATATTTTCCACGAGCCGCTTCTGGGACACGTCAATTTCCACAGTTCACATAGTGCAAGACAGGAAACCACACGGTTTCAGTGTAAAATCCCCGGTTATTTTCAAAATAAAATGCAACGTTGCGATGTTATATTTAACTTACATCAGCACGTGTGACCGAACGGCTTTGTTTACCACCGGTTTCTTTCGAAAAGTGCAACGGTGTGATTCCTCGCGGGGTTGTGATCTCTCGATGAGGGAGGTGTCAGAAGTCTCGAGGGATTTTAGAATCTCGCGGGTACAGCGAGGCGCAGAGAGGAAGCCGTGCCGCGGCCAAGACTCTCCCGGTGTGAAAGGGACCGCTTTGAAGTTCGTGAGCGAGCCGCTTTGCTGCTGTTCCGTTCCGTTGATGCTTGCAGTGTGAAACCGGGGTTGGGATTAGCCTGTGACACACGTCACAGGCTGGTTTCTGATATTCATGTGGAGTCTTTAAAAGCTGGACTGATTGTTCAGTAACTGGTCTGAGACTTCTCTGCGAGGATGGCAGCAGCCAGCTGCTGGGGGTCAGTGATGTGGGGACTTCTGGACATCACGCGGCTCACCAGCTCCGAGGGGAAGATGTTACAAAGATTCATGTACACTTTCTCTCTTATGTCCTCGTAGCGGCTGTGCCCGGGGGACTCCGGGTAAGGGGGAGGTCCGTGGGAGGGAACTGTGAGGTGAGAGCTGTACGGCGAGTGAGGAGAGTGAGGGGGAGGGGGGCTCAGGTAATGCGTGGGTGAAGGATGGAGAGCCGGGTGAGAGGAGTGATGCTGGGTGTAGCTGTCCTGTGGCCACGGTGGGGCGTGCCAGGATGACTGCCGCGTGTCGGGCGGGCTCTGAAAGGTAGATGACTCATACCTGGACGATGGCAGCAGGGGGTGTCTGTAGTACGAGTCCCAGTTGGGTAAAGCTTTAGGTCGATGGTGATGGTGTGGTGCAGAGAGGTTCTCGTAAAGGTGGGAGTCAGACACGCTTTCAGCTCGTGTCGGGGCCAAGCAGCGGCCAAGAGGAGAGCCGGGAGGTTGGTGGTTGGACTGGGGAACTGAGTGGTAGTCGCCTGGGCAGCTGGAGCGAGCAGCCAGGGGTTGGTGTTGGAGGTGGGGAGGTAAAGGGTAGAGGGGTCGCTTTGGAGGAGCCTCTGGTGGAGGCTCGTGAACACATGCTGCACTGAGGTGGTAGGTGTGGAGCGCGGGGTTAGACGTGTGGCTGTGTTGGATACTTGGGTATTCGGCAGCGTGGATGGCACACAGCTCGTGGTTGGAGGACATATGATGAGGATACAGCCAGCTGTGGGGGTTGGCAAAGTGGACGCTGTCCTCCAGTAATGGGTCTGGAGGACATCCAGGACAGGATCTTTCACTGTAGGAGTCGCAGCTGCTGCCACAGCTGACGCTGCTTTCACTGCCACATTCAGAACCCGCTGAGCCCATCGAACTGTGTCGCAGGTCCGTATCGTTGGGGAAGCGGCAGTCTGGGCTCCGGCGGGAGGTAAGGCTCAGGCCAGAGTAGGCCCGCGTTACAGAGTAGTAGCTTATGTCTGGAGACTCACAGTGAGGGTAGAGATCATGGCCGGGGGCTGGGAGGTGTGTCACCAATCTGGACTGTTGGTCTGATGGAAGGCCATGACCGGACAGAGGTCCGCCTGGGGCTAAAGACATGCTGCACCCGATGCTGCTGCTGGAGCTGCTACTGCTGCTGCCACACAAGCTGCCCTTCTGGCTTTTAGCCAGCAGCTTCTCTTCAGCATCACTGTAGGACAGAGCTCGAATGCTGGGGTCCGATTGCCTTTTGGGGGCACCTTTTTTTGCCTCAATGGTGCCAGCTGGCACGCTGTGGCTCTTGACAAGTCCAGCGTCCCCCTGGTTCTTGGAGGCGACGCAGGTCTTGGCGCTAGCACGCAGCTCATCCGCCACCGCCCGCTGAGGCTGGGCCCCTCTCTCAGGGTGGTAGTACTTACACTTGTGGCCGTAGGTGCACTTCTTTCCTAGAACAGCAAAGCAGAGCTCAGTTAAAACAAGTAACAGGACATGCTTGCTTCTGTTAAGTCAGTTTAGAAGGATCTTAAAGGAATAGTTCACATATTTTGAAGCGGGGGCTCATTATGCTGTTTGCATTTTTTCTGTGATGGACCCATCCAGGGTGTCCCCACCTCCCGCCTGATAACTGGTGGAGAAAGGCACCACCGTCCCTACTCAGGTAAAGCAGTAAGAGCACGAGTGTTTGTGCAACGCCAAGCTAGCTCCTTTTACGTTTCCGATCTGTGTACTTGCCGTATGGACAGGGTTGTTTCTTCTGCTCAGGCATGACGGGCTTCTTCCTCAGGAAGTTGTCTAAACTGGGGCCGTGACGACCGAGAGGGTCATCAGGTGGCATGAATCTGGGAAAAAAGTTTTGATTACGTGACGTAAGGCCCGACAAGTTAAGACTTTTAAACACAGCTTCGGTTTCCATACTTGTCATTGACGAAGGAGTACATGAGCAGACGCTCGTCTATGAACTTCTTCCACTCAGGCTTCTCGTTAGCCAGGTCTCTGTAGTTGTCATTGGAGACGATGATGCCGTCTGACTCATAAGCCAGCTTGACTATGAAGCGGTCGTCATAGCAGACCACGCGCCTGCCTTGTACGCGCCGTGAGGGAGTGAAGACGAGGATTTTCTCCTTCTCCAGGCGACGCAGGATCTCCTGATCTGTGAACATATGATGTTTGTGAGTACATCGTCATGGTAACGGTCGCTCTGAATTTGTCACGACTTGCCTGTTATTGGGGCATCAGGGCGGGACTGCTCTTTCCTCCACGCAGGCACAAAAACGGTGATGTTCTGATGGCCGCACTCTAGGAACCAATCTACAGCCAGCTGGATGCCTTGACAGGAAAACACCTCCTTGTTGCCATGGCTACAGAGCATCCCAAAGAGGTACATGTTATTATTTAGTGTTTGAGAGGGAGATCCAGACTGGCGGAAGTGCTTCTCACCTCATGGCCACATTGCTGCCGTCCACCACAATCGGCCGCAGGTTGTCCTGGTCGCAGATGGACTCTGAAGGGCAGGGCGAGTCCGACCGCTGGCCTTCCAGCACATCGGAGCAGCCACAGGACGACGCAGAAGAGGACGTGGATGAGGCGGAAGTTAATATCCCAACGGGCTGCTCGCCGTCAGGCTTGGTGCCCAGTTTGACCAGTTCTCCCAGGATGTCGTTGATGAGGGTGTCGGGGCCGAGCTTGGACAGCACCAGTCGAACCGTCTCTTCGGAGTAGCCCAGCTTCAGAGCAAACTCCAGCTTGGCCTGGTAGTCTTTTCCTCTCGCCTTGGACGCCGGCTCAGACGTGGAGGAAGTCTGCAGAGGGTCCTGCTCACCTGAGGACTGGATGAGCGTGTCCACGCACGGAGGGTCGGGAGGCCCCTCAGTGCCCAAGTCCACACATGGGGTCCGACACAGCGGCTGGTGGGTGTTTTTACTGTGAGTAGACGTACCCTCTTCTCCGTCTGAGTCTCCACCTGCAGCGTGTGCGGAGTTAGAAGGTGGCGACGGCCTGCACACTGCGTCGGACCCACCGCTGTCCTCCCGAAGAACTGGTGGAGTGAAACTGGCTGTGGTGGTGTGGCCGGAGGTCTCCCCCTGCTCCTCCATAGCAGGGGGTCCGTCAGCGGCGCCAGCCTGCCGGTCAGCCCCAGCTACGTGGAGATACTCCAGGTCCGGTTCCTGGTCAAGGACAGGGCCTTCTCCCACCTCCACATGGTCCTTCTGAACCATGGATCTGTCACAGACATCCAGCACACCGGCCTGAGTACAGGCTGCTCAGAAAACGCCACTCATGGATGCCTAGAGAGAGAGAGAGAGAGAGAGAGAGAGAGAGAGAAGCATGGGTGACCTGGTTCAGCTAATAAATCAACAGTAAAGGGATTTTTGCTCATTCTGAAGTCTGTTTCTGTGGAAAACCTCTAAATAATGATCGTTATGATGTCATATGATGTCATGAACTCATGCATTCATTAGGGATGGGCAGTGCTACTTCCACTGCGTCAGCGTGTGCAATAGTAAAACGGTAAATGGCCTGTATTTGATATAGCGCCTGCTAGAGTCCTGGAACCCCCCAAGGTGCTTTACAACACAATCAGTCATTCACCCATTCACACACACACATTCACACACTGGTGGGGATGAGCTACAATGTAGCTACAGCTGCCCTGGGGCGCACTGACGGAGGCGAGGCTGCCGAGCACTGGCGCCACCGGTCCCTCCGACCACCACCAGCAGGCAACGTGGGTTAAGTGTCTTGCCCAAGGACACAACGACAGCGACAGACTGAGCGGGGCTCGAACCTGCAACCTTCCGATTACGGGGCGAGCGCTTAACTCCTGTGCCACTGTCGCAATCAACCTAATGCTCTCCACTTCCTGCAGCAGCAGGCATCACCGTAGTTTACTAAATGTTAAACGTGTGGATGTCCAACAACAGGAAGATCACCCAGCCCAGACACCAACAGCAAAGTGGAGCAAGTCTGGTGCGTCCAGGGGTCAAGTCCTGCAGGAAATCCTTCAGAAACCATCAAAACTGACTGAGAACGTCATTATTTACAACATCTACACAAAACACCTTGAAAAGGCTGAACGTTTGTCTGTATTGCTACGGTAACTGGGTAAATCCCTGCTTAAACTCACAAGAGCAGACACATAATAGATGATTTTTGAACATCTTCACTTTACTGACGTAATCTGGCCTCCTATTGGCTGTGCTGTAGACGCTGAGACGTTAGCTTCCAAACACAAAGAGCTAACAGGGCCCCCCACTCTAATTAATGAACTCCCCACCCCCACCCCCCGGGCCGACCTCAGTACATTATAAAAACCGCCGTGCCACATTGCATCAACCCACAGGATGAACGGTTACAAAATAAAGACACCAAGCTGTCGGGCTACAGCCCCCCCCCCCCCCCCCCCCATATGCTTCCCCTCTCTGGGATTCTGGACTCGGAGCTCGTTGGGGTGTCGTATTAAAGCTCTGAGGACATTTTATCTAATTAAAGACGGGCAGTAATCATATTAAGGGGTGATACTGAACCCGTCGTGTCTGGAGCGCGTTTACTGAAGTTTAAAATCTGGAAAACAAATCAAACGTTAGACCATGGATGGGGAAGTGCTGACGGGATGGGGCGATTGGGTGGAGTGAGTGCATTTTATGAAAAAAGGGTGCAACCTAGCAACGTGGCTCAGCTACTGTTGCTAAGCTACAGCTGTTGAAAGCATTTTCCTCCTTCAATTGCCAAGACAGAGGCTGCAGAGTTCAGCCGGGTGACCCGACTTACACACATGCACGCTGGGGAGGGGAGGGGAGAGCTCTGTGTGTGGGGGGGTGGGGGGGGGTGTAAGTGTGCCTCACTGACAACAATAGACCTGCTGCAGTGATTAGGAACTCAGACCTTCAACATCTACCACACAAGGTGACTCGTAGATTATTTCACGTTGCTGATTAATTGAAGTGATGCTTCTCTCTCAGGCTGGCTGAGCAAGAGCACATTTAGATTCTGCACAAGGGTGCAAAAGTACCACCACCACCCCAAAAGACTCCATCATGCATAATTTCAGTAAGTCTTCTACTCTGACAAGGCTCAATAATTTACACTTGACTGCACGTTTTTATCCAGTAACGCCTAAGTAGACGCTAAACTGCAGCAGTCAGAATTCGTCAGTGACATCACGAGTCTTTTAGCTTCTGGAAGTGAAAGATGACAGCAGTAGCTAAGGAGCTAGAGCAGCGTGTCCAGTAATCAGAAGGTGGCAGGTTTGATCCCGGCTCCCGCCTGAGAATGCCGCTGTGTCCTTGGGCAAGACACTTGATCTCCTTCCTGTACACATGCCCAGCAGGGCTCGGAGGTCCTTGGTGTGTGTGAAACTTGCAATCTAAATAAAGCCGTCGTGCCTTGTTCGTTGTCCAACAGCATGTGGAGAGGGTATGAAGCACAACCGTAGATCCCGCCTCACATACGTGCTGTCTGCAGGTCTATATAACACACAGAAAGATGGCTTGCCAGGCTAGTGTTTTGCTGCTAGGGCTGAACGACCCTGATCAAACAGCTGCGGCTTTCTGAGGCGCTCCTGACTGAGAAAGGATCTGGTAAAGTCCCATTAGTCGTCGCACACTGGTGTGATTATTTCTCTGCATGAGCTGCAGACACGGCTGCACTCGGGAACTATTAGGTGGTTTAACCCCCCAATCCAACCCCTTAAAGCTGAGTGTCAAACGGGGAGCCATCAGGTGTCCCAGTCTCAGGGTGTGCACTCATACCACTACACTGAGTCAGCTGAGTCGTTTATTTTACACATCCGGGCTTTTTAGGTGTGACCCCGGTTTCACACCGCAAGCATCAGCGGGAACGGAACAGCAGCAAAGCGGCTCACTCGCGAACTTCAAAGCGGTCGCTTTCACACCGGGAGAGTCTTGGCCGCGGCACGGCTTCCTCTCCGCGCCTCGCTGTACCCGCGAGATTCTAAAATCCCTCGAGACTTCCGACACCTCCCTCATCGAGAGATCACAACCCCCGTGAGGAATCGCACCGTTGCACTTCTCGAAAGAAACCAGTGGTAAACAAAGCCGTTCGGTCACACGTGCTGACGTAACTTATATATAACATCGCAACGTTGCATTTTATTTTGAAAATAACCTGGCTTCCTGTCTCGCACTATGTGAACTGCGGAAACTGACGTGACCCAGAAGCGGCTCGCGGAAAAAATAGAACTCGATCCTATCTTTAGCGGCGCGGCATGCCGCTTCTGGGACGCTCTTGGAAATTGCCGCGTCGCGGCTGGTTTGAAACACTCCATAGACTACAGTTGGATTCTATTTGAAGCGGTGCCACTTTGCTGCCATTCCGTTCCGCTGATGCTTGCAGTGTGAAACCGGGGTTATGGTGGTAGCAGCGAGCACTAGCCGGGCGGGGGCACATTTGGTTGCGTTTGTGTTTTATTTCTTCTCGTGGCGCCCCTCAGTACAATGATGCTGGGAAACCTCTGCGTGTTGTTTTTGTTCAATTCTGACCTCTAGTTTTCATCCTTGCATTAATGGACTAATATATTTCAATGTTTTGATGGTATGATGTCATTTCCTGTTTGGTTTACAAATCTTACTGTACAATGTGAAAAATGTGCTGAAGCTTGTTTAAAAAAACATGAATCGATTAGAAAAATTGTAACTTCTGCCAAAAAAAATCACAAATCAATATTTTTCTATAAAAATAGATTTTAGGAAAACTCAATGGGAGCAAAGACTAGCCGTTAGCTCGTCATTCCTAATTTACATTTTTCTAAATGGAGGCCATTCAACACACAGTCTAGAATAGGTATTATTACAACGACTCAAACATCCATTTAAAATGGATCATCTCACCTAAGCTGAAACAATGTTTGGGTCTGAAGGCAGATAGATAGAAAGGATGAGCAGCAGCACACATACCTGCAGTAACAGAGAAAACTCAAATGTAACCAGGGATGAGTTCCATTCCTGCACCTTCTAACGGGCAGAACTAACTGGAAATGGAATGTAGCCCATACTTTTTTCCAAATTCAAAGTATCTGCTGTGAAATATTACCCTAACAGCTGATTTACTGTAAAACTGGGAAGATATTTGCTTCTAAACCAACCACCGGGGTCTAATCCCGACCCAGAGTCCTTTTCACTGCGACTCTTTTCTAATCTCTCTCTCTACCTCTACCTCTCTTTACCTCTCTCTCTCTACCTCTCTCTACCTCTCTCTCTCTACTTCTCTCTACCTCTATCTTTTTATCTCTCTACCTCTACCTCTTTCTCTACCTCTCTCTCTCTACTTCTCTCTACCTCTATCTTTTTATCTCTCTCTACCTCTACCTCTCTCTCTCTACTTCTCTCTACCTCTATCTTTTTATCTCTCTCTACCTCTACCTCTCTCTACCTATCTCTCTCTACTTCTCTCTACCTCTCTTTTTATCTCTCTCTACCTCTACCTCTCTTTACCTCTCTATCTCTCTCTCTCTCTCTACCTCTTTCTCTACCTCTCTCTCTACCTCTCTCTCTCTCTACTTCTCTCTACCTCTTTCTCTACCTCTCTCTCTACCTCTTTCTCTACCTCTCTCTCTACCTCTATCTTTTATCTCTCTCTCTCTACCTCTACCTCTCTCTACCTTTCTCTACCTCTCTCTCTCGACTTCTCTCTACCTCTTTCTCTACATCTCTCTCTAATTATTTCTACCTCTCTCTCTCTCTCTTTCTCTACTTCTCTCTACCTCTCTCTCTACTTCTCTCTACCTCTACCTCTCTCTCTACATCTCTCTACCACTATCTTTTTATCTCTCTTTCTCTACCTCTCTCTACCACTATCTTTTTATCTCTCTCTTTCTCTCTCTTTCTCTACCTCTCTCTACCTCTTTCTCTACCTCTCCCTCTCCCTCTTTCTCTCCCTCTTTCTCTCCCTCTTTCTCTCTACCTCTCTCTCTCTCTCTCTCTCTCTTTCTCTACCTCTCTCTACCTCTTTCTCTACCTCTCTCTACCTCTTTCTCTACCTCTCTCTCTACCTCTTTCTCTCTCTACCTCTCTCTCTCTCTCTCTCTCTCTCTCTCTCTCTCTCTCTCTCTCTCTCTCTCTCTCTCTCTCTCTCTCTCTCTCTCTCTCTCTCTCTCTCTCTCTCTCTCTCTCTCTCTCTCTCTCTCTCTCTCTCTCTCTCTCTCTCTCTCTCTCTCTCTCTCTCTCTCTCTCTCTCTCTCTCTCTCTCTCTCTCTCTCTCTCTCTCTCTCTCTCTCTACCTTTCCAGCAGCTACAAACTTCATTCTATTAAAGCTCTGACTCATTTAAATCCAGAATCTAACACAAACTTTAGAGTGCATCGTCGTCTCTTACTGAGCTGATAAAAACACATTTAGCTTTGTTAGAGTAAAATCTCTGACCTCCTGCAGCACACAAGCGTATCAGGACAGTAAACATGTCTAAATGCTTTTTTTAAAGTTTGGTTTTTAACTTGCTAACAGTTTAGATCGCTGCTGCAATCTTCTTCAGAGCTAGCCGCTAATGACTGTGTTACTTCCTTCTTCGTTAAAAAAAGAACTTAAGTGGTTAGAAGAAAAACAGAATGATTATACAAAAGAAGTAAACAAGTCTGACAAAAGGTGACGGACAGAAAAGTTTCTAACCACTTACCAGAGCAGGGAAAAAACAAATAACCACAAAAACAGAAAAGTTGAGCGTCTCATTTCCTCATTTTTAAATCCAAACTGCGCAGAAGAGAAGTGGATGCAGGTGAATTGACGGGAGGGGTTTCCACAGCAGCTCCATGTGAGGGCGGATGCTGCAGCAGGTGAAGCATTCCGCTCCAGTAAAACCTACTCGCTGTCCGACTGGCTTCCAGTTCCTTTTTTGTCCTTCTCTCTTTGGGACAATGAGGGGCAGAACAGATGGAACAACAATGTCAGCCATTCCCTCGTTTGGAGTGGGAGATCCTCCACCAATCAGAGCACAGCAGGCTTACAATGAGCCCCGATGAGGAGAAGGCGGGCAGATGCTTGCAACACCCAGTGTCCCCAAGGCACGCGTTTCAGCGCGCACCAGCACACACACACACACACACACACACACACACTCCTCCAGAGGGTCTGAAAGGACATCCCGTGTGGCCAGTGGATGGGGAGGAACAATACAGCCACACAATGGGAGGCTGGGGAGGGCAGCTGCAGTGTGAGGGCTTGTGCTATTACAGCCTGGGGGACACTGGAGAACACCTGGCTATGGAGCGCCAGTCACTCTCCTCCCTTTGTTTCAGGGTAAGGGATGGGGAGGGGGGCAATGATGTGGTTTTTAAAAGAGTGGAAGTAGAGATGAGACAAGGGGGGTGGCTTAAGAAAGTTTATGTCCTCATGAGGACGGGGAGGACTGCTGTTTTGTTACGGCACACTTAGGGCCGATCACTCAGACACAAATCTGTGTCTTTATGTGATTCTATGAAGCCTGAGGAGCCTGATCTGATTTGAGCCACGGGCACATTGTGAAGCAGCGTGCACGTTAGCATAGAGCAGTCTGCACGTTAAAGGTTTGCTAAAGGTTCCTTTTAGCGAAGCCCTGCCCATGGTCCTCCGAGCTTTATTTTGTATAATTTCTAACAGTCCAGTGGCATTATTACGTCTTTTTTTTTTTTTTTTTTTTTCCGTTTTGCTCCCGGCTGACGCTGGTTCCACTCTAGGTACCATGACAACATCACATGGTAAAAAGTTCCTAAAAGTTGATTTTCCATGACATGGAACCTTCACAAAAACTGTTCCATCAACAAACTTCTCCGTCCTCCTCAATCCGGTGTTTTAGGTGATTTTAGTTATAGCACCCCCTTAAGTTCTGGAACCAAAGTGTCAAATATGGTATGAGTCTGAAAACGCTAATGATTTATTTCATCCTGCTACAACAGTGTTACTAATGGTGCTCCTCTTCAATGGACGACTTTGTTACGTGCACACCTCAGCAAGCTAACGCCCTGACCGAGGCCATTGTGAGCATGTTGGTCACGAGAGTCCTGTCTGTGGTCGCTGATCAAGGTTTCAGAGAAATGATCAAGCAGCTCAACCCAGGCTACCACGACTACTACCTACCAGGCTGATCCCACTTCACCACCATGATGGAAAAGATGTTTAAGGTTTCTCTTTACCTTGCTAACGTTTCGTTTGCCGACTGCAAAACATCCTCAGAGCTGACGCTGATGGTGGCGTCACTTCCTACTCCGTTTATCTGCGGGCAGCAGAGGACGTTGTCGCCCTCTGCTGCCGGGAGTAGGATGTGACGCCACCATCAGCGTCAGCTCTGAGGATGTTTTGCAGTCGGCAAACGAAACGTTAGCAAGGTAAAGAGAAACCTTAAACGTCTCTTCTTCTTCTTGTTTTTATTCACATTGGTGTTAAAAACTTTCCGGTGATGCCATCGGCTCACCGCCTGCTAAGCGGAGTATCAGACCGGCCATCCGGGCTTCCCTTTTTAAGCTGAGAACCACCAAGCTGGATAAAATCTGTTGCATTTTACCAACCAAGCAACGGTTCCTTTCAGAATAAAAGGTGAACTCACTGACCCAAGGAGGGTGCCTTTTGACGCTGTGAACCACCTGTCGCGTGTTACCTGGAGACGATCCAAAGACTGGTTTGTCGTACTGTTGAAGCTGTATACTGTTGAAGCTGTACCACTGGCTCCAGTACCAGAGGAGGGTCTGTGGACCTGGCATTCTGGATCTGTACGGAAGTCTCATTCTGAAGGGTATGTGGAGCGACAAATATGGCGTCTCATGTGTTTATGAAACTCCGGTCAAACTCTGATCATAATTAGAAGCAAACCATCATTACATCATTGAGACTTGCTTCTCCGGATACGAGAGTTCTGATAATAACATTACTCACACACACCATCTCACGTCTCATTTACACCAGATCCATCCATCATCAGTTAAAGTTAGTCTTGTTTAAAATTGTTTAAATAATTTAGTAATAAATCATCTTAAACATTTTAAAGGACTCTCTCTCTTCTCTTGTCTCTCAGTTAATACAAAGTGTTACAAAATCCCTACAATAAAAAGTTCCAATCTTCTGGTTAAATAACTCAGTGGTCCGTAAGATTGATTTCGTACTCGATATGGAATCTTAATGTCTCACGGTCCTTAATTAGATGTAAACTAACTTCTTTTACATAATGAAGAAAAAGAAGAAAAGACGAGAACCAAAAATGGAATTAGAAACTAGACACAGTAAGAACACACCAAATGTGTAAGGTGTGTGTGTGTGTCCTGCCATTTCCTGAGTTAAGATTGTAAAATGAAGCGCTTCAACCTTGCCACCATGCCTCTTGTGAACACAAGTCATTTTTGGTTTTAGGTGCCTACCTCCATCTGACTGTAGCCTTTGTATTAACAGGTTACAAAGTTGTTGATAAGCGATCATCTTATCTTTATTATTAGATGGAACATAGCTGATCACACTTCAGACTAGAAGCTAATGATGGGTATATTAGAGCATCCGGGTAAAATAAGCTAAACTTTATAAATGACATGATTAGTCGACTACTAAAATTAGTTATGCACCGATATGAAATTTTTGGGCCGATACCGATATCCGATATTGAGATCACTGTTATGGCTGATAATCTATACCGATATACTGACATTAATGCTTCTAAAATCAGCAGATTTTGTAGAGAATGAAAATTAGGTCGTCTGACATCGAATCCACAACTGCAGTTCACCAGGCAAAACTAACTGACCTGGTTATGGCACAAATGTTGCCTGGCAAGCCATCCTATGCTAAATCATTTTGCTTCAGCAAACGGCGGTCTAGGCTAACACTGACACTACTTAACCAGTTACATCCGTAAGACAAACATTACGAAAACACAAGCACACCCAGAAAGGAAGCCAGTTATTTAAACACACCCATTACTGACTGATTCAGTTCAACTAAACACGTAAAAAATAAGTAAGATTCAGTTTCAGTTCTGGTTCCTCCTGAGATCCATTCTTCTGCACATTTCATGTAGGGTTTGAGGAACTATGCACCCCTCTGAACTGTGGATTAGGTGATAGATACGTTTTCACTAAGCTACAAAACCTGCTAGTGCGCGCGCACACACACACACACACACACACACACACACACACATCTGTCAGGCCATCTGCTGTGACAGACAGTTGTCGCTGCTTCTGACAACTGCAGCCACAACAGAACCGTCATGGAGGCTGGTGACTCCAAACACAATCCAGTCCTAATTTGGCCCCGATCTTCTGACTTTGTCAAATAAATTAAGATTCTGGAAGGAAAACATGGAAAATCCGAGATTTCTAGTGTGAATTAGGATTTATGAGTTAACAAACTTGGGAAATTTATTGTTTTTTGCAACTTGGCATCTTACTATTCACAGATCTGGAACCGATCCCAGATAAACTGGTGAATTTTGGGCTGCAGTTTTAAATAATGCACCACAAGTTACTAATAAATCTTTGCAGAAGCTGCAAAGATTGTTTAAAAATTCTACATTTTACTTTTAATGTTTATGTAGCAGGTGGCACCACAAGGTGTCACTGTGGCCCTGTAGGTGAGATCCCTTTAAAAGGGAACTGGCTGGCTGCCAGTAAGGTGTGCCAGTTTCCTGTGGGAGGCTAGGGTGTGGCAATTTGTTGGGGTCACAGAGTTATAAGGTCAGACGGCCAGATGAGACGCTGACTGAAAGGAGCAGTGGGTGAGGTGTTTGCAAGACACAGTAATTCATTGCTACCTGCTATCCTTGTTTGTGTTTGTTTCTTTTGTAATAGTCTGCCCCAACTAGCTTTTTGTTGTCTTAAGGCAGTTTGGGGGGGGAGTGTAAGGGTGGACTAACAATTACTCTTATCTATATTATTTGTTTGGTCACCTCCTACTTTACCTTTGCTGAACTGCCACTGCTAATTATTAGGCCCGAGCAGCGAAAGCGCTGCGAAGGCCTCTTGTTTTTGCTCTGATTATTATTAGGCCCGAGCAGCGAAGCGCTGCGAAGGCCTATTGTATCTGCTCCGTTTATTAGGCCCGAGCAGTGAAGCTGCGAAGGCCTATTGTATCTGCTCCGTTTATTATTAGGCCCGAGCAGTGAAGCTGCGAAGGCCTATTGTATCTGCTCCGTTTATTATTTAGGCCCGAGCAGTGAAGCTGCGAAGGCCTATTGTATCTGCTTCGTTTCTTATTATTTCTTTCTTTCTTTTTCTTCCGCGTCTTTGGATGGCCTTTAGGGGGTCTTAGCATATCCAAAAACTCACCAAACTTTGGCCCAATATAGAAAGTGCGTGAAATTTACATATTTCACTGGCAACGTGAAAGTTGGTAAAAAAATGTTTCAACAGCGCCCCCTGGAAAATTAAAAATACCCCTCCGCTTTGACCTTTTTTCATAGTAGAGTGATGAAATTTGGTACACTTGTAGAAGTCAACAATATGCACAGAAAAGCCTCTTGCACCCATGGTCAATATCAAAAAGGAAGTCGGCCATTTTGGACTAAAGTGGCGATTTTGACCCCGTTTTGGCCATTTCTAGGGTCTATATTTGGTTAAACAGTTTGGTCATTTTTCGCACGATCGTCTCAAAAACAGTGTGCAATCGAACAGAAGCGATGGACGATTCAAATGAGAAAATAAAATTGACTTTTCGTAAATACTGAAGGGGCGGGGCCAGGCCTCAAAGTTCGAGCACTCGCCAAAAAAATTCAAATCGCTATAATGTCATAAATGAAAGAATCACAGTTAAAGAAATGTTCTAAGGACAATCGTCATCGACCTCCGAAGACAAATGAATGGTCGATTGATGATGTCACATAAGCCCCGCCCCCTCAGGACTTAAAAGGTCAAGATTTACTGGGAAATTTTCCAAAATTCGCCCTTTCCAATAACCACCCCAAATTTGTAGCGGGTAACTGAAGACAAGTTGGGGTTGCTTGGCGTCACTTTATGGGAGTTTTCTCCAGAAGGCGGGGCTGTGGCGGCGCGGCGAAGTCAGGCGTACCGCTTAGGCCTTACGTTTGCCTCACATTTCGTCATTTCTAGAGATATCGCCACAAAACCTCTTGGGAGTGATCCTAGTTCAGCCCCCCACAAAATGTGATGTGAACATCCGGTGGGCGTGGCCTATTTTCTGAAATAGCGCCCCCTAGGACCATTAAAACTGTCAGCCCCAAGTCATGCTTTGACTGAGGATTATGAAATTTGGCACACTAATGTGGTGTCTCAGGACCTACAAAAAAGTCTCTTGGAGCCAAGTGCAAAGTCGCACAGGAAGTCGGCCATTTTGGTCCAAGTACTCGATTTAGTGGTTTTCGCACACGTTGTTTGGAGAGTGATGCTCCATCGCCCTTTTCACCAATCGCCTTCAAACTTCTGCTATAGACTCTTAAGACATAAAGGAAAAAATTCAACCGTCGGATTTTAAATAAGTATAAAGGTGTGGGCGTGGCTAAGCCTCAAACTTTGACCTGTCACCACGCCACTCTTTTTTTCACAGCTACCTATTGGACTCCTTTTACCCAATCGCCAGCAATCTCTGGCGAATAGCAGCTGACAAGTTGAGGTCACTTAGTCTCCAGTACTGGCAGGTTTTGAAAAAAGGCGGGGCTTTGGGAGCATGGCAAAATTCACCATCACGCCATGGCAATACGTTTGCCTCTCATTTCTTCAATTATCGTGCCATCACCACAAAATGTCTGGTGAGTGATCCTAGTCTGACCCCCAATAGATTTGGACAGCTGTAGTTTGTAAGCGTGGCCTATTTTCTGAAATGGCGCCCTCTAGGACCATTAAAACTGTCAGCCCCTAGCCATGCTTTGACTGAGGAGTACGAAATCTGGTACACTAATGTGGTGTCTCCGGTCCTACAAAAAAGTCTCTTGGAGCCAAGTGCAAAGTCGCACAGGAAGTCGGCCATTTTGGTCCAAGTAGTCGATTTAGTGGTTTTCGCACACGTTGTTTGGAGAGTGTTACACCATTGCCCTTTTCACCAATCACCTTCAAACTTCTGCTATAGACTCTTAAGACAAAGGGGAAAAAATTCAACCTACGGATTTTAAATAAGTATAAAGGTGTGGGCGTGGCTAAGCCTCAAACTTTGACCTGTCGCCACGCCACTCTTTTTTTCACAGCTCCCTATTGGACTCCTTTTAACCAATCACCAGCAATCACTGGCAAATAGCAGCAGACAAGTTGAGGTCACTTGGTCTAT